ATGACTAACGCTTTTTTTTGCAGAGCTCTGATGCTGATGGTAAAAAACACCTTCCAGGCAACATTACAGCTCCATCTGCCACATATATCTGAGCCACAGCAGGGACTGACTCACATATTTAAGGTGATTACATTCTCAGTTCTCAGCAGTGATGCATTTAATGCAAGCCATCTCCTGTGTCCTCTCGCTTTGCAAAGGTTTCTGTAGACTTAACACAACCTCCTGGTTTGCTTTTTCTTTACTGAATCTCCCTGACACACTCGTGTGGGAGCAACTTGTAACAGATTCACCTTAATGCAGCAGATCACCAGGTTTAAATTCCAGGTGACAGGAGTGGTTATTATCAACTACCTTTGACTCAAAACACTGTTCTACAGTATATTTCAGTAAAGCTGCAAATGTATTTACTTGCATTATCTTTTCAGACAAATTACATTTTACAAAATACGACTGTCTGCCGTGTAAACGTGCAGATTTCAACCTGCTATGATGCCGCCTACGACTGCCTAATTTCATCTTGTTGCATGAATGTAGAATTGGGATGACACAAGGAAATCATCTCCCGAAGTATTTAGAACAGATCCAGCTCAAACAGCAGAATAGCATCTCCTCTGATAACAATCGACGAGTTATCGGCTATCTGACATTAGAGCTTTTTTTTTTCCTGAAGATGTCAAAAAATGTGGATATCCTTTAGATAAAGTTGACTGCCCTTCTTGTTTTCTTTGTTGAGTAAGGCCAGAAGAAGCCACACATATAAGATGCATTTAAACAGCTTGTTTAACATGACTGGCGATTGTGATTTTTGTCCAGGGTCGTGGATTTTCAGTCATTGAAGAGGCAGCATTTGTAATATTAGCTACGTTTAGTCGGCTGTGACAGCTACAAAGATGCTAAAATTGAATGGAAGTGCTCCCTTGGTCTTCATTGGTGCTCTATATTACAGTGTGACACTAATTTTGGATAGATGAAATGTATAGTAGTGTAAGCTTTCAAGGCTCTAGTCTGCCAGGTCCATGAAAACTGAGCTTAATACAGGACCCTGAAAAGTGCAGACAGTTTCATGATAGAGGTCCAGAATAAAATTTAGTGTAAGGTGAAACTTTTTGTATTTTTATTTTTTATAGAAGAAAGGCTGAAGGCTTTTCAAAAAGGACACAGAAATGTATTATATTTATGCAAAAGAAAGAAAAAAATATCAAAAAGCTTGCAATAGCTAACAGATTTTGTCTGCCTTGTTCATGTGCCCATTAAAGTGAAGTATGAACCGGCCAGTTAATAACGGTATTTTAATTAGCATTTGACAGGGAGAGCGCCTTGGACCTCTGCCTTTTTCTTACTAAAAGATAAATGTTTAGAGTAGAGGGTCACCTTAATAATCGGATCCTTGGCAGGGGCCCAAGATGGCACTATTTTTCCATGTAACCGCCACCGGCCGTAGGGGTTGATGAGGTGCCTTTCTATGACCAGGTACTCCAATACATCCTTCGGCTGCTCCTCGCTTCCCAGCATTAACCTCCCGAAGCGGTCATAGATGGCCAGAGTCTGCACACAGACACAGAGAGGTAAATTCAATTAGTCGTCTTAACACTAATTGTAACATGAACGCAAACCTAACCCTGCGTTTGATTTAGATTTTTCATCACTTCCACAAACACAGTTGTTGTGGGACACACAGATTCCAAAGCAACTCTAAAAACTGGCTGCAGGGCTGCTGCTTTCACTTTAGCTCACAGGAAAATATTAAGTTTGTCCCAGAAGGGGCATTTGAAAGCTGCCAGTTAAAAATAAGAGCTGAATTACAGAAGGAGTAACTGACCAACAACATCGAAACCTGCAAAAAGGACATGCAGCCTTAAAATGTGTAAACAAGTCAAATGGCTTCAGGAATAAAATCAAACCTGCTTTTGCTCGTTTGATGTACTGACAGGGCAAAAAAGGTTGTATGTCATCTTTCAACAAGCCAATATAAAATGCTTTATGTTACTGTCATGAACCAAACAGCAGAAGGCAATGTGATTACATACACAGAGCAGTTTTTCAAAGAGAGTCCAATAAAATACAAGATTAAAAATAGAAACATGTCAAACAAGGACGTAGCATCTCAGAAGTGATTCGTGTCCGTCTGACAAAGGGACACGTTCAGTGAGTGAGGAATAAAACTTATAATAAAACACTAAAAAATTTACTTGCTCAAAGCTGTTCTGGACAATCTCACACACATGAAAACACCAACACACACAAATACTCATACTGTACTGTACCTGCTTCGAGTGCATGCGAACCGTCACCTGCCCATACAGGTTGCCTTTGGAGACCATGTCAGGGCAGCGGGCATGGACCACTCTGGGTGGCTCCAGGGACTCCACAAACCTCCAGCGGATCGTCTTGTATCGGTTACCCCTCGTCATCTCCTGAACACAATGCAGCCGAACAGAAGGTTGAGTACAATAAAACAAAGAACTGAATTATCTCAAGGATCGTCGAAGGATAAACTTACAGGATAACACCTCTCAGTCACCAAGGAGTGAAGTTTCTCCTTGTTGAACCTGAAATTCAGACGGAAGATTTTAATTTTCATCTCTAAAACTGAAGCCGGAGAGTTTTCATGACATGTTGCTTTACTTAGCCTCTCGTATCTTTGTACATATATCTCATATACAGCTAGTAAAATGTATCTCACACCCCCCCCCCACAAAAAATGTCCTCACTGAGCAAATGTGTACTTCAAAAAAAAAAGAAAAAATGTTGAGAAAGTGAAAGTTGTTGGTGACGGGTCGCTGACAGGCTCTGAGTATTTCAGAAACTGCTGATATACTGGGATTTTCCCACAGTATCATCTCCAAGGTTTACAGGGAACATCCAGTGAGCAGTCTGGCCATTCTCCTCTGTCCTCTACCAGCAACGAGGCATTT